TGTCGTTCACTTTTTTTTACCTGAATATGCACCGAAAGCGAATTATTCCCTCTTCTATCAAATTCTATATGGGGATTTTTATCACTTCCTACCAGCAGAATAGCGCCATCTCTGTGGAAAATGGCCGGACGATATAATTAATTGGCGTTGACGGTTCCATCATTCTTCACATAATGATTAATAGTTTCTAATGGAATTTTTCGGTAGTTTGTCATAAAGAAAGCAGAAAATACTCGATTATGACATAGGCAATTAGTTAAGTTTTTATTATTTTATTCAGATACTGAATTTAATACATCAGAAAAAGTTCAGGCTGTTTTAATGGAGTTGACAATACATTTAAATTACACTCTGATTATTAAGCTAATGGATCTGCTGCTTCACAAATCGTCTTTATGACGAACTGAAGAAGTGTTGCTCGAGTATATGATGTTTATATCATTTTCGGAAACATGATAGATCCTAAGAAGAGATGTATAATCCATGAGAGTGAGTCTAGTTAGGAATCAACAAACAGACCATGCCAAGGACTCATGTTCGTATCTCATACCCGGCTGTCTTAATTTAGTTTGGATTATATTAAAATGTTTTCCAAAACATGTTATAAGACCATTATTAAGTTTTAAAAGCTCCACCTCGCCTTTTAAGTTGTATGACTTTGTATATCTTTCATGAAATGAAAAAGTGCAAGTTGTTATAAAGAAGTTGAAAATACTTTAAAATTACATTCTGCCGTTAAGCTGATGCTTCTGGTGTTTTACAGAATTTCTGTATAATGATCTGACTGCGTGCTGCACGAGAATGTGTTTTTCTTACCTTTAATGATAAAATACTAGATACTAAGAAAGGTGTTTTAGACGTAGGACCAGTGTCTGTTTTATCATTTACCATCACATGCAAGGAGTATCGCTTTAACCCAGTGTCGATGAATTGCGTTTGTTTTGAACATCTTCGTAGTTACGAAACGAGTGAAATGAACAAATGAGTTTATTATACATCAACGAATACGCGTTTGTTGATATTCACCAGTGCTCGATTATCAAACCCAAAATTGTCAAAATCAGAAGTGATCCTCAAAAGCAAAATAATCAACGACATTTTGGGCAAAATGATTGTTTTGAATATTGTCGACCACACTGCCTAAATCATCGATATTATCATCAGTTCAGCTTGAGGCAATAATTTGCCGTCGACTTATGTCTAAAAACCACGTTCTTCAGCGCTATATTTGTTTAAAATGAAAATAATCATTTTGCATTTGATCCTCAATATCATCCCGACCAAGATGAAGACGAATCTCAATATTTACAACAACAGAGGCGATAATGAGAATCCAGCCATGAATGAAGAAAAACAAATGTTATTTTTGATACTCAGAGGTTGATCAAGGGAATTTGTTTATATCAAAATTCAAATTCATACAGGTAGTTGGTCTATCTGTTAAGGTTTTCTTCATTTTCAGCTAAATTGAGTGTAGAAGAAAGGATTTTTATCAGCACTGCGTAGGACTACGTCTGTGATTTCTATATGGGGGTACACTTTAGCAAAACCAAAAATGTAACATATAACAAAATTATGAAAGATTTTGAAAGTTAATAACTCAGCTGCCCCTGGACCAATTTCAATAATTTTATCACCAATCAATCAGATATATTTCTACGCATCTGCAAAATTTAAGATTTTATAATTTTCAAAATGTAACTATTTAAAATTGTGTGCAACTGTTGCTTTGATAATTAAAATTATAACCGATTGTCTGTGAAAATCAATTTCCCTAACACAGATTTTAAAGTTGAATATCAACCGGTCTCACCAAACGATGTTTATTCAATCACCGCGTGGTAAGTGGTTGTGTTCTCCAGTACACAACGAAAGGCTCCCCGCAAGCAGCTTGTCATCAAGTCTGGCCTCAACCGCTGATCAGATTCAGTTCCAATCACCGTGTGTGGTGGTGTCCAGTGGCCGGCATTAGCAGCAGCAGTGTTATCGGCGCGTGGTGTTGAACATTGTTCTCCATTACACAACGAAAGGCTGCCTGCAAGCAGTGAGCTGCAGCCCACATGAGCATCCATCGAAGGATTAAGTAGCCGCATCGCTATTGATCGAAATCAGTACCTCTTCGTGAGTCGCTGTGGGTCATATATGCCAACCGCGTCACCCTCATTCCAAACAACATACAGCTCACCAGCCTCATCTGTGTCTAACACCCTAATAGCTCAGCATTACTCAACCATCACGACAAAACGATCCTTTTCAAAACCACCTTAAATTTTTAAAAGTGTGTTTTTTGGACATTTGTCAAGGTCATCAATCAGATGTCAGTTCTCATATCAAGATAGAGCTGGAATTAGGGCGTAAAAACTATTGTAAACAATGACTTCTTTCGATGATGTCTTGAAAGTCAAGGCTCGCCCACGCAAATCAACATCACCATCAGGTAGGGCGTACCTTGAATTCCTAAAAATCATTGTTTACAAAAGCTGTTACGCCTAATTCCAGCTCTATCTTGATATGTTTAAATCTAACATACCATGTACTTTAAGCAACATTGGGAGTGCAATTTCAATAACCAAAGTCGGTCGTGGCATGTAAGTGGTCTGATTTTGATCCAGAGATGATGGATTTTAATTCTGAATACGCCAATCGATAGGAATTTTGCCTACGAATCTGTTAAAATTAATTTTCATTTTTCAAAATTTCACTATTGAAAACTGCACGAATGTGCAAATGTTGCTATGATAATTAAAATTATCACCCTTTGCTTGCGAAAAGCGCTTTCCTTAACACAGATTTCAAAGTTGAATTCCATCCGGTCTCATCGAACGGTGTTTATTCAATCACTGCGTGGTGAGTGGTGGTGTTCTCCAGTACACAACAAAAGGCTGCCTGCAAGCAGCGAGCTGTAGTCAACATGAGCATCCATAGAAAGAGGAAGCATCGCTATTGATCGGAATTAGTAGCTCTTCGTGAGTTGCTGTGGGCCATCTATGTCAAGCGCGTCAATCTAAAGAGTATAAACAGAGAGAACCCCGCTCAAATTCCTATTCCTACACAAAACACAAGCTCCTGTTGCAGTTAACAAATAAGATTTATTATATAAGACCACCTAGTATTACGTCACCATTGCGTACAACCCCATATGGCTGTCCCTTGTAGTTTTATCAAACAGAGTTGGTGTAGTGTGCAAATTACAAACCCACCACGCCAAGGCTTGGCTATGACTTATTTTTGCATGTGAGGATATTTTTGACATTTTTGGTTATTATGATGTTTTCCAAAACATATTATGTGACCAATATTTTGTTCTTAAGTACTCCGCTTGTTGCGCTTTTAAAGCTGTATAAAAGTATGAAATGAAGTAATATAAATTATTAATGATTACTTGTATTTGTCATCGAATAGTATTTTCATCTTCTTTGTAACTAACTGTGTTGCTTGGGAAGATTTTTTGGCGGATCTACTGATGAAATGAGATTGTGATGAAATCGTTCCAGAGTAATTTCATCAATTTTTACCCACACACTATAAAAATACAAACCAATCAATGTGTCTCACTTTTTTCGAGTACAGTCTTCAAGGTATGAAGTTCCTTGATATTCTATAATATTTTCCAAACTTTTATGAGGTTTTCCAACCTTTAAGGGAGTTTCCTGAAATCAAATGACGTTCTCTTAAGTCTAACCTTCTGCGAATTGCCATTAACTGCTAAGAAGGTTCCTGTAAAGATTCAGTTTTATAAATCTGAACGTACACCTTTCCCCACCCTCGCGGGGGTGGCTGAGGTAGTAGTGAAGTAGAGGTGTGACATTTGAAGACTTCTACCGATAGTATATGTATTGTCAGTTAGAGCCATGGCCTCCTCCATCCCAACATCATATTTACGCCTATGGGTGTAACCGTTAGTAGCCACCATGACAGGTTTGAGCACACCATCTTTTGGGTTGGAGATGTTCTTGACTGCCCTGGGCATAGAGTATCATTGCGTTTGCCAAAAAATGTTCATAGGAAACTCTCAATTAATAACTGAGAAAGTTCATCGAGAACACTCAGTTCAAGATCACTTAGCAGGTGAAAGCTCGTATAAGAGCGTCAAAGCCAAGTAGAGAAAGTAGATTTCATAACTCTTAAGTAGAGTTCATTATTATTCAAGTTACTCATGCATCCAAACAACAGTCTATATTACCGTTGCCTTAAACTTGTTATACCGTACTTGAAGCACTCAACCTTCTGCCTGTCTGAAAAACTCCACTCTCAGCTTCAATACGGTCGATTCTCTTTATTGGCATCATAAAAATTGAATCTCCTTCCTGCTACAGCCCCGCTTAGAGCCCGAATGAAAAAGCTACCCAAGTGGAAAAGATGGAATTAAAATCTGCTTAACTTTTAATTGCCTGGATTAGATCCCGGTTTCCCCTCGGAAATAGGGATCAATACCCGGCAAGCGTCGACTATGCCATGTACCCGATCTCATTCCCCCTTAAATTTGAAAACGTCAACCAGTCAAACGGGAACGGGAGCGTTTTTAAAATTAAGGAAAATATTTACGACACCCACCGACCGTCAGGAAGCCAACCGAGTCAAGCAGTCAGCCATAATTCCACGTTAAATATTTACTTTTCATAAAATTTTTAATCATCCTCTGTTGTCACCGCAAAAACATCACCCATTCAGCACGTGCGACTCCTTCCCCCATGGTTTTCACACTCCATTGTGCCTGTCGTTCAATTTTGTTATCATTCGGTTATTTATCCAAAAAAAGAAGCGGGATGGGAATTTGGGTTCTGTGACACTGCAATAGCGCATCGTTACCCCTTTTTTCGGGATGGGATGTTTGTTCTTGAGATAAGTATATAAAAATTTTAAGCGCGTAGCCAAACATGAACGCATCACGGGAGACTGGCTGTGTGACGTTTAATATTTTATGAATTTGTTTTAACTTGGAAGTTAATAAAGTGTTTGCTTTTCAGGGAAAATTGGTTTAATGTGACAGACATATTTACCTTGAGAAAAAACAGTCCTCCTGCAGGCAGCAAAACCCGATGCGATCCCGGCAGTATTTTGAGCGAAGCACCATCTTTGTACCATTGGATGATGGGCGATGGGATTCCTTCGGCTTTGCAGTTCAGCGTGGCCGGTTCATGCCGAGGCACCGTCGTGTCTATTGGATGTTCGATTATTCGAGGATTTTGAAGAGCTGCAATTAGGAAGGAAAGAAAACACAAATAAACTTCTATTTCACATTCAGTAGCATCACTTTCGTAACGTTCAATTAACAGCATTTATGTCAGCAAATATACAGTCAATGTGATTGATTCCGACAAATTGAATTTTAAACAAACAGCAATCTAACTGCCCTTTCGTGACTCTAATTACACGTTTCGTCCGCTAGTGCGCCAGTCATTTCGATGTTGATTACCGAGCAAACGCGACATGAAAATTAAAACCATGCGTGAGCTGCCGGAGGTTTCACCCGGAGCACACCTGCCAACCTGAAGGTAATTAAGACTCAAAATCCTATTACTACCGTGAAGGACTCCCCGGTTGCAAAACAAAAGGCACCCGGTTGAGCGTTTTAATACCTTCGTCGTGGAGTTTCACTTGACCGACCGACCCAGCTACGTAGCGGTAGTTCGCAGTTAGTTACGTTTAATTACGATTATGAAAATGCTGCCCAGCAGAGCTTTCGCCGGGAGAAAAATCACTTTTACTCAAACGGAATGGTAATTACCAACTATTATGGGGGAAATGTATAATTTTTATTTCACTTTGCATGACGTTAATTGCCCAAGCTTGAGTTGCTACACTGAAAAAAAAAAGTGTTCACATAGTTTCTATTGGCAACGGATATAATTATTTCATTGGACCCTTGTGGTTCATGTGCTTTTCTGATGCAATTCCCAATTATGAGAACACAAGCAAGTTAAGTGAAATTCGCTTACATACTTTCCACTGGATGTGTAATTTATTTTATGAGTGTAGTTTTTCCTGATCAAAAAATACCCAAAGACCAAGCGTCTCCACCGGCACTGGAGCGTACCAAAGATAATTAGAAAAACGCAGTTCGATAAAATTCCCTCCCCAAAAATGAAGCCATAAATTAAACATTTCTTCATGGTAAATATGCATGGAGTGTGGTTTTCCCGCAAACTGAAAACCAGGGGTTGCATTTGGGAGAAAAACTGATCTGAGTGGCAGCCAGGAGTGAGAGTGAGCAGCCAGCAGCTGAAAGTAGCAAGTTCGTTCGTTGTAAAGTTGGAAAGAGTGGAACCGCATCGCTTCGGAAAGTGTCAGACAGTGGCAAAATTTATGAAGGTGAGAAGCCGGCCGGCACCGGAGTCGACGCCAGTGCCAGCAGAGTGGTGTGTTTTTCTTCCGGGACCCGGTTTCGGTCTATCGATCGACACGGTTTTTGGCTCAATAGTGTGGTACAAAAAAAGGGAGCGGGGAGCAAGTTTTTCATTGAAATTTACTACCTTTGGTGGAGTGGAACAGTGTGGGATTGGATATTGCTGGAAGGTGATTAAATTTATGGAAAGATCAACGGTAATTAGTTTTGTGAATTTTATTCAGCAGTGTTTTTTTTCGATTCCGGAAAATTATAAATGTCTGATCTATATGGCCAATGCGACGTTCCTTTACAAAACCGTTTAATATAATGTAACCATTAACAAACATTTTGTGTATGTCTTTAACCTTCAATTTTAAAGTTTCTAGAATGATCACAATATCTCCTTAATTTGTTAATATATATAATGTGACAAACGGTTTTTTTCTTTCAAAATTAATGAAGAGACATTTTGAAAAAAAATCTACAATAATTTCAAGAAGTGTATTACAAATGTTATTCTACAGCACAGACAAACAGACATAGCTCTTGGATGTTTTTCATGAACACGCAATTAACGGCCAATTAAAATTAGTCGTATTTGGTAATATAGTTCGATTTGGCAACAAAGCCAAAACCATTAAAAATCGAACGGATTTTGAAAATAATGTAGTTTTGCTCCTTGTGATTACAAAATTTAATATATTTTTTTAAATAATAAGGTCTTTGCCACAAAGATGCCTCACGGTGGTCCAAAATAAACGAAATCGTAAATAAAATGTCAAAATAAGACCGTCCGAAGACGATGTTTTGCACTTAAAATGTTCAATGTATTATGTTTGCTAGTCTGTGATAACGATTTCAATAACATATAATCTATATTTCTCTTTAATTAAAAAAAAATTCCTCTCAAATCATTTTAAAATAAAATAAATTTGTTAGTTTTAAATTAAATAAAGACTGGACACGGAAAAAATGCGACACTTTGTTTCGGGTGTAACTTTTTATCGCGTGGGTAAAAATTAATGAAATTTTGGGTAATACTAGTTTAGAGTGTTATGTATATGTGTCATGTAGTTTTCAAGATGCATTTGAAACAAGAAGAGCTACGCCAGCAAATCTTGGGCGCGGTAATCGATAATCCTGGTCAGTCGCACAGATGGATCGGCAAAAGGCTTGGAATCCACCATTCCACCGTGTCCCGCGTTGTGAAGATGTTCCAGGAGACGAAGACCATCGAGCGGCGCGCTGGAAGCGGCCGAAAACCGAAAACGGAATACCCAGAGAAGGCGCGGAAGATAAGGCAGTACTTTAAGAATAACCCGAACCTTTCCACCCGAGACGTGGCCAAAAAGGTCAATTCATCGAAGTGGTTCAGCCAGCAGACCGTGAAGCGGGCTGGGCTACGTGTTTTTAAGGTCAGGAAGGCGCCAAACTGGACTGACAAGCAAAACAAGGTGGCCAAATTGCGTGCGCGGAAGCTGTACCGTGAGTGGCTGATCAAGCCAGGCTGTCTCGTCATGGACGATGAGACATACATCAAGGCGGACACCAAACAAATCCCCGGCCTCGAGTTTTTTGTCGGTACGTCCCGCATGGCGGTTCCGGAAAAGTTCCGGAAGAGAAAGATGGACAAATTCGCGAAGAAGTACCTGTTGTGGCAGGCGATCTGCGAGTGCGGACGGTACAGCAAGCCGTTCGTTACAACCGGCACCATAAACGGGCAGATTTATCGAGAGGAATGCTTGCAGAAGCGCTTGCTGCCCTTCCTCCGCTCTCACCGTGGTCACACGCTGTTCTGGCCGGATCTCGCTTCGTGCCATAACGCCAAGCCTGTAATGGAATGGTGCGAAGCGAAGTGCGTTAATGTGGTCCCGAAGGAGGCGAACCTGCCAAATACACCAGAACTTCATCCGATCGAAAAGTTTTGGGCGATAATGAAGAAGAAGTTGAAGAAAAGCGGAAAAACATTCAAAACCGATGAAGCTTTGAAGAAAAACTGGGAGAAATTGTGTAAGGAAGATGGGCAAAGCCTCGCCCAAGATCTCATGAGCAGTGTTAAGAGAAATGTACGAGCATTCAGCTTAGGGGAGGAAATTCAATAAATAAATTATGTCATAGCTAATATATAGTTATTTAATCCCTGAAAATTTGAGAAGTATCCGATTTAAAATGAATTTTTGGAGATCATTTTTGTGTGTCTCTTTTTTTTTTTTTAGCTCTTTATTTGTTTCAAATTCAAAATAAATTACATTTCATTTTAACCTAGGTGCTCCAGTTACTACAGTAACTTACCAGCCTTAATTGTTATGATATATATCTAAGTATTTTTACATTGTTCCTGTCTTGGTAATTCAGTATTTTAAACAGGTTTTTTAAACTTGCATGTCAGTATAACAATTGATATCTTATTTTTTTGTGTCTCATTTTTTCCGAGTCCAGTCTTTATTTAATTTAAAACTAACAAATTTATTTTATTTTAAAATGTTGATATACATTTACTTTATTCCATTTCCATTCCATTTCCATTCCATTTCCATTCCATTTCCATTCCATTTCCATTCCATTTCCATTCCATTTCCATTCCATTTCCATTCCATTTCCATTCCATTTCCATTCCATTTCCATTCCATTTCCATTCCATTTCCATTCCATTTCCATTCCATTTCCATTCCATTTCGATTCCATTTCCATTCCATTTCCATTCCATTTCCATTCCATTTCCATTCCATTTCCATTCCATTTCCATTCCATTTCCATTCCATTTCCATTCCATTTCCATTCCATTTCCATTCCATTTCCATTCCATTTCCATTCCATTTCCATTCCATTTCCATTCCATTTCCATTCCATTTCCATTCCATTGCCATTCCATTGCCATTCCATTGCCATTCCATTGCCATTCCATTGCCATTCCATTGCCATTCCATTGCCATTCCATTGCCATTCCATTGCCATTCCATTGCCATTCCATTGCCATTCCATTGCCATTCCATTGCCATTCCATTGCCATTCCATTGCCATTCCATTGCCATTCCATTGCCATTCCATTGCCATTCCATTGCCATTCCATTGCCATTCCATTGCCATTCCATTGCCATTCCATTGCCATTCCATTGCCATTCCATTGCCATTCCATTGCCATTCCATTGCCATTCCATTGCCATTCCATTGCCATTCCATTGCCATTCCATTGCCATTCCATTGCCATTCCATTGCCATTCCATTGCCATTCCATTGCCATTCCATTGCCATTCCATTGCCATTCCATTGCCATTCCATTGCCATTCCATTGCCATTCCATTGCCATTCCATTGCCATTCCATTGCCATTCCATTGCCATTCCATTGCCATTCCATTGCCATTCCATTGCCATTCCATTGCCATTCCATTGCCATTCCATTGCCATTCCATTGCCATTCCATTGCCATTCCATTGCCATTCCATTGCCATTCCATTGCCATTCCATTGCCATTCCATTGCCATTCCATTGCCATTCCATTGCCATTCCATTTCCATTTCCATTCCAGTCCATGATATCATTTTTTTATGGAACTGCATTGACGTTCTCTGATCAACTAAGTCAAATTTTCACCAATTTTTGAAGTTTTAAAATTCCCATGAGAATCATATAAAATTCTAAAATCCTCTCGGAACGTTGTTGTACATTCCAAAATTTCCCTGAATTTCTCAAAACTTCTGTAAGGTTCCTTGAAAATATTTGAACTGCCCTTTGGTTCTCTGATCAATCCAGATCAAAGAAGCTTCCCTGAAGCTCATATTCCTACAATGTCTTGGTTCTGCTCTGAAGTAAATAGAACTATTCTGAACACTTTTAAACTTTCCTGAAGTTTTCTGGACCTATGTGA